GCATGGTACAACCCCTCACCTCGATGGGCATGGCACAGACACAATTCCCAGCGTGGTTACAACCCCTCACCTCGATGGGCATGGCACAGACACAATTCCCAGCGTGGTACAACCCCTCACCTCGATGGGCATGGCACAGACACAATTCCCAGCGTGGTTACAACCCCTCACCTCGATGGGCATGGCACAGACACAATTCCCAGTGTGGTTACAACCCCTCACCTCGATGGGCATGGCACAGACACAATTCCCAGCATGGTACAACCCCTCACCTCGATGGGCATGGCACAGACACAATTCCCAGCGTGGTACAACCCCTCACCTCAATGGGCATGGCACAGACACAATTCCCAGCGTGGTACAACCCCTCACCTCGATGGGCATGGCACAGACACAATTCCCAGCGTGGTACAACCCCTTATCTCAATGGGCATGGCACAGACACAATTCCCAGCGTGGTACAACCCCTCACCTCGATGGGCATGGCACAGACACAGTTCCCAGTGTGGTACAACCCCTCACCTCAATGGGCATGGCACAGACACCATTCCCAGCGTGGTACAACCCCTCACCTCGATGGGCATGGCGCTCTTGGCCAGCATCCTCTCGGTGTCCAGGATTTTGATGGAGGCGTCGGCCGAGCCCGTGGCTATCAGCTGCCCGTCCCTGCTGTAGGTGGCCACGCGGCAGGGTCCCTTGTGGGATGTCACGTAGCAGGTCTCGTACTCGGAGGCCTCGGGGGACATGGTCTGCACGTCAGCATCGAACTCCAGGTCGATGCCGGTGCCCGGCGCCACGGTGTCCGAGCGGCCGATGGCGTACTGCACAGCACTGTCATCGTTCTCCATGCCTGGGGACAGCAGGGTGGCACTCAGCACTGCCAGCCTGCTCCCCAGAGCCTGCCACGCTCCAGGGAACGCCTGGGAAAGGCAGCCCTGCAGGGAGAGCTGAGCTGGCAGAGCGGGTTGGGTCCCACGGCTCTGGGGAGGAGTGAGGGACAGCTGGGCTGGAGCAGGCACAGCTCCTCAGGAGTTCTGAGAGTGCCCCAGTGAGGACTGGGAAGGGCTGATCAATGCACTGACAATCAGTCACTGACCATGCACAGGCCTCTGGTCAGCTTTTCACAGGGGAGCAACAAGCCCCAACACTGTTACATGAGTTTTAAAGTATAAAACCCAAAGCATTTACTGATTCTTTTCCTATTTTATTGCTCTGAAGGCACACTATCCCAGCACTGCAAGGGAAAAAGCTTCCTGGTCTCCAAGCCCACTTCCCAGACTTTTATTTCTAAGATACAGCTACAGACCAGAGAGTTCAGCACTGGCAGTGGCAACAGGGCAGACACAAGAGTTTTCAGCCCAGTGGTGATCTTTTTGCTGCTTTCATCTGCTCATTTCAAGTCTAGAATTTGCATTTCAAACAGACACAAAGCTTCACAGATTTATACCCTCAGAACTCAGCTAGTTCAGGCAGGAGAACCAGTTGAGTTACATATGGTGTCATGGTCAGAGCTCTTCCAGGACTTGGCCAGCTTGTTCCAAGAGCAGCTCAGGGGTTTCCCTGTTCTCCCCACACTGTGGCACTTCCAGAGGGAAGCACAGGGAGAGAACAGCTGACAGCCCTGCTGAGACCCCAGAGTGTGCAGCTGTTCCCTGGGGACTGATCTATAAAAGCCAGCAAAGATTGCCAATGGAAGGACTTGCTCCCTCTCCAACACTGTCAGGAACAACCAGATTGGCATTATTTCTTTCTGAAGTCAGCAGAGCTCTGAGGGTGAGATTTTCCCTCAGATCTGGGGGCTCAGTGATTCCATTCACTGGGGTGTTTTGAGAAGACACCCAGAATCCTGAGCGTCCTTAGAGGAGTCCAAACAGATTTAGGCACCACTCAGGGATCTGGTTTGTTAGTAATGAAACAGGAATGCCCTTCAAAACCCTACAGAGACAAAGGCTGTACCCAGATGTACAAGTGCTGTGCTATTACCAGACACCACCTTTGCATCAAAGGTGTCTTTGCAGTGACACCAACCTCTTAATGCACTGGGGAATTAGAAACTAGACTTTTATGTCAGCTTTTGATTCCAGCTTACCTAACTTAATTAGGTGCAGCAGTTGTTCAGAGGGTGCACACACAGACTGTGGTTTGATCTCATTTATCAAGCCATTGGCAATGTTGATGTATCCATCATAGAGCAGCTGGCTAATTATCAGTTTGTAAAGTTGCTGACGATCTTTCAAACTGACTTTTGTCCTATACATTGTGAGCAGGGACTGCCTTGGGGGGGCCTGGAATGAAGAACAGAAATCACATACAAGAGAGTTGCATGAAACCACCAGAAACTTGGAACAAACCTCAGGGCAGGCACTAAATATTGCTGTGGTTTTGGTGAAAAGCAGAGATGGGGACAGGAAAGTGGGGGGAAAGAGCAGGAAAAAAAGGAAGGAAAGAAGAGGAAAAGGTGAAGAAAAGGTGGGAGAAAGGGAAGGAAGAGACGGGAGAAAGGGAAGAAAAAGGGAGAAGGAGGAGGAAGAGGCAGGAGAAAAGGGAGGAAAGGACAGGAAAAGAAGGGAGAAAGGGGAGGAAGACAGGGGAGAACGGGGAAGAAGAGAGAGAAGAGGAAGAAGAGAGGGGAGAAAAGGGAGGAAAACGAGAGGAAAAGGGGGAGGTAAGACGGAGGCAAAGACGGGGGAAAGGGAAGGAAAAGGGGAGGAAAAACCTGTTGCGTTTGTTTTCTGTGTCAACGCAAACCTGGGCCACACAGCGAGGCGGGCCGTGCCGAGCGGAGCAGAGCCGGCAGCGTGTGCCAGCGGAGCCAGCGGTGCTGCCGGCGGGCCCGGGCTCCGATGGATGGATGCACGGGGCGCGCAGGACGGCACGGCACAGCACAGCACCGGCCCCGCCGCCCGCCCCGCGCCCTCCCCGCCCTCCCGCTGGCGCGGTGGGGCCGCAGCCCCGCGCGGGCGGTGCCGGAGCCGCGGGCGGGCGGCCCCGGCGGTGCCGGTACGTACCGAGCCTTCCTTCTGCCGCCCGCGCTCTGCCCCTAAGATGGCGGCGGGAGCGCGGAGCGCATCGAGCGGCGGCGGCGGCAGCGGCGGGGGCGGCCGGGCCCGCAGGACGCTCCTCCGCGAAGGCTGCTGCATCGAGCGCCCGCACATCGATGGGAGGCGGCTCTTGGGGGGGGCGACACAACGGGGCGGCGTCACGTGAGCGCCACACCCCCCGCGTCACGTGCGGGAGGCGGGAGCCCCCAGGATGGGGGGGGGGGGAGATCGCGGGGACCCCGGTCCCGTTTTGGGGGCCCCGGTCCCCGACCCCGCTTTGGGGATCCCGATCCCGTTTTGGGGACCCGCATCCCCGACCCCGCTTTGAGGGTCCCGATCCCCGACTCCGCTCCGGGGGTCCCGATCCCCGACCCCCCTTTGTAGACCCCGACCCCTATTCCACCCCCCCCGCGCTGGGAATCGCGGGGTTCTTCTGGCCGTTCCCCCCCTCCGGGGGTCCTGGGAGTCCCTCTCGCCATTTCGCCCCTTCCGGGGGTCCCTTCTCTCCATTCCGGCCCCTCCGGGGGTCCCGCTCCCCATTCTCCCCTCCAGGGATCCCGGGGGTCGCTCTCCCCATTCCTCCCCTTCCGGGGATCCCGGGGGTCCATCCCCGTTCCCCTTCCGGGGGCAGCGGGGCGCTGGCGGAGGCCGCAGAGCCGCGCTCGGGGCGGGATCGCGGGCGGGGGAGCGGCACTGGCCCGGCCCCCAGCGGGCGCGGGGGGAGCCCGGGGCTTCTTTTGTGTCGCAGCCGCAAAGCTCCGGAGCGCCGCTTCCGCCAGACCCCGGATCCCAAACACGGCGACGTGAACGGGCTGGGAATGAAGCGGCTGGCGCTGCTGCCCGGCCCGGCCCCGTCCCCAGCGCAAACCGTCCCCTCCCCGAGTGCTACTCACGTCAGCCTCGAGAAAGGGCAGCCGGAGCGGGCGCGGGTCGAGCAGCGGGGCTGCCATGCTCCCCATGCCCCGGGGCAGCTGTCGTCTATCACACGCTGCAGCGACACGGCGACCCGACATCTTCTTTTTACCTATCCTGAACCACTTGTAAACACCAACACACACAACCAGGCTCTCCTTCGCTCTTGTTTTCAGCACCGCGGAGACACTGAAAAGTTCCCTTGGATCGCAGTTCTTCGCAAGCCCCGAGCGCCGGCTGGAGTTTCCTCGCTCCGCGGCGCCTCGCAGGGACCCGCGGGCTCCGGGCTAGCAGCGCCTCACGCCGCGCTCGCTGCGCTGCTCGCGGGCCGCGTTCGCTGACCGGCCGCGCTCCCGCTGTCCCGGCGTCTCCTCGGGAGCCGCGCGGCTCTGGGCGCTGCCGGGGGCTGCGGCGCGAAGGGTCCGGGCCGGGCGGTGCCTTGGCACTTGACGCTCGCCCCGCAGCGCTGGCGGCACGTGGCACTGCCCGGGGCCGCTCGGCCGGGACGCACCGGGAGGCTCCGGCCCTGCTCGGCCCGTCCGGGGGGGCACCCACACAATGGCCCCGCTCGCGCTCGGCCCCACGCGCGGTGGCAGCAGCGCCGCTCCCCGGCCTGGCCCGGGGGTGGACGGGGGTGTCTCGGGGGGAGTCTGGCGGGAGTGGGACTGACCTGGCGGCGCTCCCGGGCGCGGACCGGAGCGGAGGCGGCGGCGGCCACAGGTGGGAGCGCGGCGCGTTACGCGATTTGCGTAGCGGAAGCGGCGGCTCGGCCGGCGGGAAGTGCGCGGGCGGCGCGCGCCGGAGGGCGCGGCGCTACGCAAAGTGCGTAACGCGCCGCGCGGCGACAACGCCGGCGGAGGGGCGGGCGTGGCGCGTGCGCCCCTCGCGGCGCGGCGGAGCGCGCCCGGCAGCCAATGGGCGGGCGGGCCGCCCGCGGGAGGACCCAATCAGCGTGCGCGGGCCGCGGGAGCGCGGCCAATGGCGGGCGGCGGGGGTTTAAAGGGGTATTTAAGGCGCGGCGGTTTGAATTCAAACAGCTCCGGCGGCCCTGAGGCGGATGCGGCTTCCCGGGGAGCGTGGGGCGGGCAGGGTCCATCGATACTGGACCGCTATCGATAACGAGTGCTAATCGATAAGGGACCCCAGATCCCTTCTGCTCCGCTCACCAAGCCCCTCTCGCCCTCAGGCGGAGCCGCACAAGCCTCTCCCGCTCTGGCGCTATGGACAGGAACGTGAAGGAGAACCACGCCGCGTACCCAGGCCGCGCTGCCAAGGTAAGGTGTGAAATACACGGTTTATGCTCGTCTTCCTGAGCAGTTTCCTCTGCTGCATTCTTGCTCTTGATGCCTGGGAGTTTGCCATTAAAATTCTGGTCTGTTCAAGGAGTGGTCTTTAGTTTTTACCTTTTGGGTTTGTTTCTCCCCATCGCATGTTAGCTACACGTTTCAAACTAGTAACTTATCTTTCAGTAGCTTTCTTCTAGAGAAAACAGCCAAAAGCTGATTTTAAAAAAATTACTGTTACTATTAGTATATTATTAAATGGGGAAATCCTCTTTATATTATAAGTATTTAAGAGCCCTTAAAGAGAGAGCAAGTGTGTATAATCAAATTACTTTAGATACAAATTTTAAACGCAAGCACTGAGCAAACGTTGCTATTGATACACATGTGCAGCAGTGCTCAAGATCACCCTGATTATTGTATTTTTCCAATTAGAAATACAGGCTCTGTCTCACTATTTTATATAAAACTAAATAGGCCTGGTAAGTTTTTGGAACAAAAAAGCAAAATGAGCAAAATTTCCTTTTAATTAACTACTCAGCACACGATTTTGAGTGTTTCTGTTAAAGTGCTTTTGTGTGGCTTTGCCATCCTGAGAGGGGCCGTGAAGGTTCTGCCGTGCTGCTGCACAATTAACCCATTCTCCCTTCTCTCTGAAGGTCGCCAATCCCATCGGGGATGCCCCCAAGCGTGTCCCTGTGGCGCAGCACTCAGCCCAGAGCCGCTCACTCACCAGTGGAGCTCCAGCCCGAGTTCTGTGTCCTGCAAACTTCGCCCAGAGAGTCCCCGTGCAGCCCCAAAAACCTTTACAGCCCCAAAAACCGCCCAGCAACCAAACAGCGCAGCAGCTCCGGCCCAAACCGCCCCAGCAGGCCACTGTGAGACCTCAGGCTGCAAGCAAGAGCAGTGAAAAACCTCCCCAGGCTGCGGCACCTGGTAATTGTGAGGGTGATTTCCCAGCTGTGACACTCAGGATGCTCCTAAAGCTGCTGCTGATCGAGGGATGGCCCTGGAGGGAAGTTCTCAGTTGTGCCCCCAAACAGAAGAGCAGTACATGGTTCACCTGGGGTGTTGCTGCACCATCCTTGTGAATGTATCTCTAAATTAACCAACTAGAGACAATTTAAAAATGTGGTGTTAAAAACTTGAAGATGCTCAGCAGCCAGCTGGGAGTTAAAGTAATTTGCATTCAGACCTCACAGATTTTCCAAGATTCATGCACAAGGATGCTTTTGTTTGGGGAGGGGGAAAGAATTCATGGGTTTTTATGCTCAGAAAGCCTTTAAAGTTGTATTTTGCTAGCACTGTTTGTTTCCGAGCAGTCAGCTGTGCTAGGTTGCTTAAAATGTCATGGAGTGGATTCTAAGAGCTGCTCCAGACGATGCTCAGGGCTTAGATTTGTTCCTATTTGTGTGTTCAGTGAGTCTGGTTCATCAATTGATTTCCTTCTCTGTACACAGCACAGAACCCTGAAGCAGAAAGCACCTCGAAACAGAAAACTGAGGAGACCAAGAAGAAAAGTGAAGAGACTAAGAAGTAAGTTCTATACCTAAACTGTAGATAACTGAGCCCTGCTGGAGCTCCTTTGGCTGTGGAGCCTGGTGACCCCCACACTTTGCAGACAACACAAGGAAAGCAGCCTTTGACCTGGTAATTGCCAGGAGCAAGGACTTGCTGTAATCTAAAGAAAACTTTGGGCTAAATGCAGAGTAGCTCTTCCCAGGGGAGAGAGAGCACTGATAGCTGCTGCCCCAGTCACGAGATGTGCTCCTGAAAACAAAGCCTCCTTCATCTGGGCAGGAGGCTGGAGTCTAATTTGGGATGAACCTGGATTTGTTTATGACAACTTTAAGTTGTTTTGCCATGCCCTGGTGATGTGTCTGGGTTAAGAGTATCCAAGGAGCCCAGCTTGGTAAACAGTCTTCATTTTGTAGTAGGGTGGTTGGTGTAGTGTCTGCAGAAGCTTCAGGGGGAAGAAAATAGCTTTCAGAACTTCCTTTTGAAAAATCTCAATGCTTTTATTCTCTTGGTGTTTTCCTAAAGACTAAAATCTAGTTTAGAGTACTAAACATCTATTGAACAATGTTATCAACTGTAAATCTGAGTTAAAGCCAACACAACTCCAGCTTTTGACTTTCCTCTTGCAGAAGGCAGTGGTCTCTTGATGATTTTGAAATTGGTCGTCCTCTGGGGAAAGGAAAATTTGGGAATGTGTACCTGGCACGTGAAAAACAGAGCAAATTCATTCTTGCACTGAAAGTGCTCTTTAAAACACAGCTTGAGGAGGCTGGGGTAGAGCATCAACTGCGAAGAGAAGTGGAAATACAGTCTCACCTTAGGTAAAGTTTAGTGGCTATTTTACTCTGCTTTGTTTGCATGCAAATAAATGAAGTAACCTTGATTATGATGAGGTTTCTGCTTTATGATAAGATTTCTTTGTGTGTTATGAACTGAAGGAACACAGATGAGCTGAAATTCCCATGCTTGCCTTGAAAGTGGGGGGGAGGATGGGGAAATTAAAGGTTTTGGAGAAACACCTGGTTCAGAAGGACACTGAAATCTCTTTGCAGGCACCCCAACATTCTCAGATTATATGGCTACTTCCATGATGTGACAAGAGTCTACCTGATCCTGGAGCATGCACCTCGTGGGGAGGTCTACAGGGAGCTTCAGAGGCTCACCAAGTTTGATGAGCAAAGAACTGCTACTGTAGGTTGTTCCAGCTTCCTCTCCATTCCTCTGGTGTCTGGGATCTCTGCAGGACAGAGCCAGCCCTTCAGATCAAGTGTTGGGGGGAACTGAGACTCCTTACTGCTAGTTGGCATCTGGGCAGGGAATGATTGGGAAGACTCAGGGCTGTGCAGGAATTTATGTTCAGAATTGTTTAATATTGCAAGGCACAGCCTCTATTAGCAGGCTTCAAGGGTTAAGGAATAATTGCTTTAACTTAAAATGATAATTATGGCTCAGAAAGGCTGTGCTGCAGCCAGATAAACTTAGGTGACAGTATCTTAAAGATTGTGGCTTAAAGGTTGTTCTCTCTGTGCCCAGTACATCACAGAACTGGCAGATGCCCTCTCGTACTGTCACTCCAAGCGTGTGATCCACAGAGACATCAAGCCAGAGAACTTGCTGCTGGGATCAAATGGAGAGTTAAAAATTGCTGACTTTGGGTGGTCTGTGCATGCTCCATCTTCTAGGTGAGAACTCAGTCTCTTGAGCACTGAAATCCTTCTGTAGTGTCAGTTTTTGTCACGCAGTTGTGGAAGGGAGGTCCATGGGAGCTTCTTGAAATACTGGGGAAAATGCTGCTATAACAAAGGTGCTAACAGGCAACTGGTGTGACAGAGGAGGGTTGCTGTCCTGGTTTTTAGTTCAAACCTTGCTGACCCTCAAAGGAACCTTGGTGTAGGGTTGCTGTGGTCCCTGAGATGACAAACCTGCTCTTGGACTCAAACATTATTCTGGCAATTTGGTTATTTCTGAGAGAGTGAGAAATGGCACCTGAGAAGGGAGGAACAGGTTTGTTCTAGCACGTGGGGTGAAAGGAGCTAGGACTGACTGATTGCAGGGACTGAGATACTTTCAGGAGTAGAAAATGCCCTGCTGGCTTTTCTTTCCCAGCTGTTCTGGGTGTTGCTGAGGTACAGATGACTGCCAGCATTAGTTCTTGAATCTGGCTCTTGAAATATATAATCTAATTATCTTAATCAATAATTAACTTGGACTTTTCTTCAGGAGAACAACTCTTTGTGGGACACTCGACTACCTACCTCCTGAAATGATTGAGGGAAGAACACATGATGAAAAGGTGGATATTTGGAGCCTGGGAGTTCTGTGCTATGAGTTCCTTGTAGGGAAACCACCTTTTGAAACAAAAACCTATCAAGAAACCTATAGAGCTATTTCAAGGGTAAGTGCCAGTGCTTATGCAGGTTAGCTGGGCCATGCTTTTAGTTCTAGAAAGGTTTCAGCAAACTTAAGTTTGAAGCATAATGAGAACAAACACAAGAATACACAAATGCTTTCACAAGCAGTGAGAAGCTTGTTCAGGGTTATAATGAAATTATTTTACCAATAGGCAGAAGGTGCACAGCCTGTAAGGCTGGCACAGCTTTTAAGGGGTAACTTTGGTTCTATCATGTGGATATTGCTAAGACCTTTTGCATCATTGTTAATGTCCTTTTTTCCTTAGGTGGAATTCAAGTTTCCTCCATTTGTAACAGAAGGTGCGAGGGATTTAATTTCCAAGCTCCTGAAGCACAACCCCTTCCATCGCCTGCCCCTGAAGGATGTGCTGCTCCACCCCTGGATCACAGCAAACTCCACCAAGATTCCCACCAGCAGGAAGAGTGATGGTGCTGCCCCCTCCAAAACATAGCCTGAGGAGGGAGGGTGACTCGTGGGATGGACAAGAGGAGCCCTGTACTGTGACTACTGTCATGCTTACAATAGGAAAAGCAGGTCTTGGAATCTAGTGGCAATTGGGATGCAAATCCTTGGGTTGGCTGGTGTCTTAAACTCGAATTGCAGCATAAAATTATTTGACTTCTCTCTGGAGCTTGTGGAATATTTAATGTACTTGAAATCAGTTCCATGTGGGCCAGTTTGCTGGTGTAAGTATGAAGCTGTTGGAGGCTCTTGTGCTGAAAATGGTTCCTTGTTCCACCACAAGGAAGTTGTTGTTCTGGCTTATGGAACAGTGCAATATCCTGGAGATGCCTGCTCCTCCCTCCCTGGGCTGCTCAGGGTCCTACCTGTGGTGTAACCTGAAACTGAGCGAGGTGTGAATGCCTTTTTCAAGTGTTCCAAAAATGATGTGGCAATTGGTTTTGTCTCTAGTTTTAAATGTGAGCACTCAATTTGTAAAATAAAGACTTGTTATACTGCACCCAGCAGCAGGGTGAGCTTCCTTGTGGCACTGCTTGGCTCAGCACCAGCACAGCTGAACTGCTGCTCCCAGAGGTGAATTCCCAAAGTGTAATTCCCACCTCTGTCTGAAGGGAAGCTCAAAGTGCTGGTACCACAGAGTCATTCACCATCCCACAGTCCCAATTTAGGACTGCAAGGTGAGTACCAAATGTGTTGCTGCTTCACCTGCTTGGTTTATTGAGAGCTTGGCCTGCTCTTGCCTTTTTCCAGTGAGTTTATTCAAAGATCTCCCATCTGATAACATTTTCCAGCCCTTTCAGAAATACTTTCAGATTATGTTGGGTAACAGCAAATAGCAAGACCAGATGTTTATAAGACACTCCTTAAAATGGACCAAGGGTCAGGCCCCTTGCCACCAAAATCAATGCCAACTCTTTTCCAGGAAAACACTTAAAGCAAACTAAGAGAAAGCAATTTATTGTCTTTTCAGAATAAGATTTCGCTATTTTACAAACAGTTTTAAAAAATGATCCTTCTACAAGCAAGGAGTCCAGAATTCAAAATATATTCTCAAATTAATTTAAAATATACTTTGCAAAAATCTTCATCTAAACAAACTGCCAGTAGTTTATACAACCACATAAGTAATCAGAATTCTGGCCACAATTTATATGAAGCTGTTTCTTTACAGCAAGAAAACTAGTGCTGGGTGCCTTCTACTGACTTTTAAATGATTTTATGATTTTAAATGATTCCATATGATTTTGAAAAAAAACTTTGAATATTCCTTCTTTATCACATTTAAGACAAAACATCCTCAGAAATTATTCTACCTAAAGTAAACAAGGCTGCCTCAGAGTTATTTTGGAATTCTTATCCTTGGTCCACATGAAACCTGGGCATTTCTGTGGTGGGGAAGGAGTTAAGGTGCAATTTCATGTTCTAGCTGAGGGGAGGCAAGAGGCTGCTCATAACAAGAAGTTATTTGCTCCTCCTTTCTTCCCTCAGCCAGCTCTTATCAAAACTCCACCCTTTCTTCCTCTCTATTCACTAAATTTTAGCAAAACTAGAAAGCTATTTCAGAGTATTTTCCTGCTATTTTACTTAAATCAGAGTTTTGTATCATCAGATCTGTCAGAGCCACCTTGGGGTAAGTGCAAGCACAAAGGGAACTCAAAAGAGCAGCCAGCAGGTCCCAAACATCCCCAGCCCTTGCTCAGGCTCACAGCAGCACAGGCCTGAGCCCCAAAGCCAGGCCTAGCCCAGTGTGACACTCATTTATCTGCAGCTTGAGTGGAAGGTGAATATCCACCCTGTAACTACATTCTAACATCACAGTGTGCCCATAAGGAAAGGCAGAGCCCCCTCATTGCTACATTCACCAGTCTCAGCCCAAAGCACAGGAATTCTTCCTGGAAGCTGGGAATTGGAATGTTTGCACTTCTGGTGCAGATGATTTGAGTTTCACCCACAGGAGCAGAAAGCAGCTGGGCTTAGTTTAAAGATTTAAAAAAAAGTGTTTCCAGTACAAAGCCAGATCTCAAACTATTAAAAAGCCCCAGCTCCTCTCTGCCTTGATGCTGTTTGGAGTATGTTCACATAGGTAATTCTGGTTACACTGATTCCAGCAGGCTCAGGATTTCTTCTGAGTCCATAGACATTTAAAAACAAAGGGACTTTAGTAAGGCTGGCTCCCAGCCAGCACATATTCAAACAATAAAATCTCAGACTATGGAAGCAATACACATGGTTTCAGAACAGTGCTTCACCTATTGTGACTAAATCAATTATGGCTGCAATAATTTATCATATGGGTACTCTTACTGAAGTCAGGTCAGTGCCTGTGTTGTACTGCAAGAAGGGCTATAATAAAAGCCTCTTCTAACAAAAGAAACACCCACCTGCCACTTTAGATTCCAGTACATACCCTTATCAAGAGAACTACCCATGTAGTGAGATTTTGTTTATTCTGCTGGAAAGAGACTCTCACAGTTCCTCAGCTGCACAGCAATAAATGAAAGCTATGACTATTTTTAAAAGAAAAAAAAGGCTCAAAAGCTGGCTTATAAAGATCCAGAACTGTGCTCACTGCAAGCACAAGCATTTATAGTCCCACTTGAAACGCAAACCAGATCCCATTTGAACAGGTTTGTCCTAAGAATAAGCGGCGAAAGGGACAGGAGACAAGGACAGCACTTTTCACAGTGACATTTACCTGAAGGAACAAGCGAGAAACGCACGATGAGATCGACCTGAACCCAGACAAGTCTCTGAAAGGAACGTTTGCCCTGAAGAGCTGGGCAGCTGCACTGGAGAGCAGGGGCAGGAGGCTCAGGGGCTGCAGGCTCAGGGGCTGGAGGCTCAGGGGCTGGAGGCAGGCGGTTTGAAGAATCCGGCCTTGCGGCAGTAGCGCACCACGAAGGGCACGGACACCACGGTGATGCTGATGCGCACGGGGGCAAAGAGCTTGTGCACAGCGTAGGCCAGCACGAAGGTGCTGGTGCCAGCTGCCATCCGCGACTGCAGAGAGGCCTCGCTGAAACCCAGCTTCAGCAGCACCGCGCTCATGTCCACACCACTGCAGAGAGAGAGGAGAGGCTGCTTTAGGTTAGGGTTGAAAATACAAACTGCTGGGGGGGTGCTCACAAAGGTTCACGTGTCACAGCTCTACTCAGCCTTTAGAGATGGAGTTTCTCTGCAGTGATTCCTTAAAGAGTTACTGCGAAGTAACTTAAGTGAAGTTTGCAGACAGGAGAGGCTGCTTTAGGTTAGGATTGAAAATATAAACTGCTGAGGGTTTGCTCACAAAGGTTCATGTCTCACGTTCCTACTCGGCCTTTAGAGATGGAGTTTCCCTGCAAAGTGATTCTTAAGGAGTTACTGTGAAGTTTCTCTTAGTGATTCTTAAAGATTACTGTGAAGTTTCTCTGCAAAGTGATTCTTAAAGAGTTACTGTGAATCAGATTACAGTTAGCTGAAATTATGAAAGAAGTGTGTTGCACACAGAGTGATTTGGGAAGACAAACTCACTTCTGCTCCTCCTCATCAGCACAGCAGATGAGCAGAGCCCATGAGCACCACGCTCATGTCCACGCCACTGAGAGAGAGGAGATGCTGCTTTAGGTGAGCATTAAAACCACAAAAACTGCTGGGGGTTTGCTCACAAAGGTTCATGTGTCACAGCTCTACTCAGCCTTCAGAGATGAAGTTTCTCTGCAGTGATTCTTAAAGTTACTGTGAAGTAACTTAAGTGAAGTTTGCAGAGAGGAGATGCTGCTTTAGGTTAGCATTGAAAATATAAATTGCTGGGGGTTTGCTCACAAAGGTTCACGTGTCACAGCTCTACTCAGCCTTCAGAGATGAAGTTAATCTGCAAAGTGATTCTTAAGGAGTTACTGTGAATTTGTGTTGGGAGTTTCACCTTTCCAAATTTATATTAAACTATATTCTGTGTCTTGAGGAAATTTATCACCTAAGCACAAACCACATGAGGTGTCTGCTGTTAGGCTTAGTGTGACAAAATGACAAATAATCTAAACCCTAGCAAGTGAAGAAGTGTTGAGGAGCTCAAATGGGCATTATCCACCAAATTCATTAATACAGAAACATAGCAGATTTCATCAGGGATTCAACCATACCTGAAGGAAAAAAAAATGTTGTCACCCTGTGCCACAATGTAGTAAACAGGAGAAATGAGGCATTCACCTATTCCCACTGGAGTCAGGAATAAGCAGCAGGGAATGTTTGGGGTAATAACATGTTCCCCTGTCTCCTCAGCTGGAATACCTTGTGTAACATGCATTCCAACAAAGCCACACACAATTCCCCACCTGACCTCTGTATTTTCACTCTAATCCTCTTCTAGTGGCTGTTATTTTCTGCAGTTCAACTGCACAAACTGTGTTCAACACCCAGAAAAATACCTTTATCTCTAAGCCCCAGAGCACTTTTGCATGGCTCTATCTCTCCAGACCAAGCAAGAACAAAAGATATCTGCAGAACAAATATATTTTCTGCCTGGTCAGTTATGGTGGTGCTGTGCCTGCTGTTTTCCCTGCTGATGAACCTGTGCAAAATGTCCATGTACAGCTCTCTTGTCTCATGCCTGATGGGAGATCAGGTCCATTTAAGGACCCATCCATACTCAAAATTCAGGAGGGAAGGTCCAACAGGCATAAAGTGCCTGTCTCCTGTCAGAAATAAGCACAATGGTAAATGTATTTTACTTTTACCACTACCTAGAGATGACAGACAGCTGTACAAACCTCACCTTGACACAGCCAGGTAGAAGATTCCCAGAGATACTAAGGAAATTCCAACATGGAAGGAAACCCCTACAGCACCATATTCTTTAAAAACTTGTTTCAGCTGCTGGGATTTGTTGAGTTTCTTGTTTTCAGCACTGGGATCAGTGGCTGCATTTTTGAGGGGTTCAGCTGCATCCTGAAAAGAAAACAATTAGAACTATTTGTTAGTATGAAGCACCAGATCATATTACAGTTAGCTGAAATTACAAAAGAAGTGTCTTGCACACAGAGTGATTTGGGAAGACAGAAACTCACTTCTGCTCCTCCACATCAGCACAGCAGATGCTGTGGCAGAGCCCAGACAAGCTCCCTTCTCCCACCTACTCCTGTCAAAGAAGTGCACTGACCTTGGTGTAAATTCTTACACAATTCATAATTAAAACCAGATTATTTGATCCCAGTGTGTGCCAAGGCACACCCACACAGCTGCTGGAGCCATGAGACTGGGGTGTGAGAGCTATTTGCTTCCACCCACTGCCCAGCTTTACCCAGTGACTCCTGGAGCACAGCTCTTTGTTCCAGGGGCACTGGAAGCCCACCTGGTACCCCTTAAAAACAGCTCCCTGATGGAAGAGATCCAAAGTTTAAGTTCCTTTAAATCACCCTTCATGGACCAGCTGATCAAAGGAAGAACTGCAAGTGTTGACAGCAACAAGCAACTGTGTTGCTACGGTGTAGACAACAACTGCAGGGACATGCCAGGGCTGGTGTG